CAGACGATAAAAAAACAAAATTTTATTAGCTAACCACAACACCAAATGATATACTATCAAACAAGTGACAAAGCTTTAAATATAAAATGACTCGACGCCGTCAAAACTTGGAAAACACAAGCCAAACGCGCGTAAAATGGCAGACGCGCCTAGAAGAAATCGCGTCAGAAACAATTGCTTTGTCGAGTGAGAAACCAAAAAAAAAAATCTCAAGATCCCTAAAAATTCCAAAAAAAAGGAACCCTAGATTTTCTCTTCCTTCACGCTCCTTTCTTCTTCACTCGCTTCGCTTCCCCCACTCGCTTCCTCCTCTTCTTTGCTTATTTGCTCTTTTTCACATCAGATTTTTGATTCTCTCTTTGTCGCTCTCTGGGTGGCCCAGAAAATGCAACCAAATCCAAGCCTCTAATTCCTCAATTTCGTGAGTTTCCAATTTTGGGTTTAAGCTTTCGTGACTTATGATTCCAAAGAAACTCTCTTTTTTGCTGATAACTAATGAAAGCAAGTTTCTTTTTTTCCTCTCCTGGGGGAAAAAAATCACAGCTTTATGTGAAATTTAGCTCATTTTTGGATTCTCTTGTTGAAAATTCTTCACTTTTCTCTATTGCTATGTGTGTTTCTAATTTTCAGACATGGATAAATACTGCTTGAGTGTTGATGTTTGTAGATAGATGTCTCTCAGGTTCTTATCAAGTTTTGATTGTGCCAGTTTCAGGTGCTAATGTAAATTAATCTATTGGAAGGATTTTTGTTTCTAGTTTCATGGGAGCTTATGGTGTGTTAGTTGCTTTTGAGGTCTCTAGTGAATCCAAATGTGGCTAACTTCATGATGGATTTGCAAGAGAATCATCAGGTCAGTGATGCAGGGGATGAGAATATGGTTGATGTTGTGGTTGAATCATCACATGATAATAACAGAGATGTAGGAATTGTTGTTGATGATCTCAGATCAGGAGATATTGGTTGTAGTGGTGGTTTAGATCTTGAGCCAAGAAATGGCATAGATTTTGAATCTCACGAGGCTGCGTATTTGTTTTATCAAGAATACGCGAAATCTATGGGTTTTACTACCTCGATTAAAAACAGCCGCCGCTCCAAGAAAACTAAAGAGTTCATCGACGCTAAGTTTGCTTGTTCTAGATATGGTGTGACTCCTGAGACTGAGAGTAGTGGTAGTAGTAGTCGACGGTCTAGTGTGAAAAAAACAGATTGCAAGGCAAGTATGCATGTTAAGAGAAGGCCAGATGGGAAATGGATCATTCATGAGTTTGTAAAAGATCACAATCACGAGCTTTTACCTGCTCTTGCTTATCATTTCCGGATTCAGAGGAATGTCAAGTTAGCTGAGAAGAATAATATCGACATTTTGCACGCAGTTAGTGAACGTACCAGGAAAATGTATGTTGAGATGTCGAGACAATCTGGGGGATATAAGAATAATGGGCTTATCGTTCAGAGCGATGTCAACAGTCAGGTTGATAAGGGTCGATATCTGGCTTTGGAAGAAGGAGATTCTCAAATACTGCTTGAGTACTTTAAGCGTATCAAGAAAGAAAACCCCAAATTCTTTTATGCTATAGACCTAAATGAGGAGCAACGTTTAAGAAATCTGTTTTGGGCTGATGCTAAGAGCAGAGATGATTATATGAGTTTCAATGATGTTGTGTCCTTTGATACCACGTATGTCAAGTTTAACGATAAGTTGCCATTAGCTTTATTTATTGGGGTGAACCATCACTCCCAACCTATGTTGCTTGGCTGTGCATTGGTTGCTGATGAGTCCAAGGAGACATTTGTGTGGCTGATAAAAACTTGGCTTCGAGCAATGGGTGGCAGAGCTCCTAAAGTTATACTCACTGACCAAGACAAATTCTTGATGGACGCCATTTCGGAGCTCCTACCAAACACTCGTCATTGTTTTGCGTTATGGCATGTGTTAGAAAAGATTCCTGAATATTTCTCCCATGTGATGAAACGGCACGAGAATTTCTTGCAGAAATTCAATAAATGCATCTTCAGATCGTGGACGGATGATCAGTTTGATATGAGATGGTGGAAAATGGTCAGCCAATTTGGACTTGAGGATGATCAATGGCTGCTATCGTTGCATGAACATCGCCAAAAGTGGGTGCCGACTTTTATGAGCGATGTTTTTCTGGCGGGAATGTCGACTTCTCAGCGTTCAGAGAGTGTGAACTCTTTCTTCGATAAGTACGTCCATAAGAAAATCACGCTGAAAGAATTTTTGAGGCAGTACGGTGCTATTCTGCAGAACAGATACGAAGAGGAATCTGTTGCAGATTTCGATACTTGCCACAAGCAACCTGCACTGAAGTCTCCCTCACCCTGGGAGAAGCAAATGGCAACCACTTACACCCACACGATATTTAAGAAATTTCAAGTCGAGGTTTTGGGGGTTGTCGCTTGCCATCCTAGAAAGGAAAAAGAAGATGAAGATATAGCGACGTTTAGAGTTCAAGACTGTGAAAAAGACGACGAGTTTCTTGTAAAGTGGAGCAAAACTAAGTCAGAACTTTGCTGTTTCTGCCATATGTTTGAATACAAAGGGTTTCTCTGTCGGCATGCTTTGATGATTTTGCAGATATGTGGTTTCGCTAGCATCCCGCCTCGATATATTTTGAAAAGGTGGACAAAAGATGCCAAGAGTGGAGTATTGGTTGGTGAAGGAACTGACCAGATACAGACCAGAGTTCAGCGTTATAACGATTTGTGCAGCCGAGCCATTGAATTGAGTGAAGAAGGTTGTGTGTCAGAAGAAAACTACAACATTGTATTCCGCACACTAGTTGAGACCTTGAAAACTTGTGTCGATATAAACAATTCTAGGAACAACATCACTGAGTCTAATAGCCAGCTTAATAATGGTGCTCACGAAGAAGAAAATCAGGTAATGGCCACTGTAAAAGCAACAAAAAAGAAGACTGTTGTTAGGAAAAGAAAGGTCGGTTGCTCTTATGAAACTTCTCTCCAGTCTAGACTTGCTCGTTCATTTTCTTAGGTTAGAAGACTTACTCAAATTGATCTTATGCAGGGACAACCAGAGTCTAGCCAAATGCTTGAATCTCAACAGAGCTTGCAACCAATGGTTTGTGCTTTGATTTGATCTTCTCTGATTAATTCAATCAATGGAACAGCAGCGCTTTTTTTTTTTAATATTACATAAAAATTAGGATGTGTCGGAGATGGCTTCATAATTTAAACATTCTGCTTGCGGTTTTGTTCATTGTTTGTGCAGGAAAATATAAGTTCAGAGGGAATGAGCATCAGTGGTTACTATAGTCCTCAACAGAATGTTCAAGGATTGGTATGCTATGTTTACTTTATTCTTATAAACGTGGCTTAACTATTCGACCATAATACTAAACCTGTTTTAACTGTGGATTTAGTTAAATTTAATGGAGCCGCCTCATGAAGGCTACTATGTAAATCAACGAACTATCCAAGGCCTGGTGGGTTATATATATACATAGATACTTGAGTCAGAATAAACAACACCGATGATCCATCACCTAAACATGTGCTAATGAGTATAAGTTAATGATATGATATGCATTTGGTTCTTGTGACTTCAGGGACAACTAAATTCCATAGCACCAGTGCAGGATAGCTTCTTTGTGAATCAACAAGCCATGCCTGGGATGGTACATTTACTTGCCTTACAGTATAAAATCCTCCAAAGTGATTTCAGAACCGCGTTATGAATGATCTTTTTGTTTTTTTGTTCCGCACAGGGCCAAATCGATTTCAGGCCTCCACCAAATTTCACTTACAATTTACAGGTTTTTCAGCTACTGCCTGACTAAATTCTTTATATTGCTTTACTTTGAATGAGAACCGCTCATTGATACCGGTCTTTTCATTTTCTTTCAGGATGAGCATTTGAGATCTTCCCAAATGCCTGGTAGTTCTCATTCATCAAGGCAGCTATAGTAAACATGTTTTTGATTATTTTCGAGATAAGTTTTGGCTCATGAAGAATTTGCAAGAAGATGTTCCAAACTTGAGAAACAAATTTATAGATCTTCTTCCATGGAGCTGAGAGTTGCAATGACAAGACCAGAATCTTTTTAAGATTGGTTTCTGTATATTATGGGATTGCTTTTGATGTATGAATATGGTTGACATGTTGTGTATCTGACTGAATAATTTGGGTTCTTTATCGTTAAATGAAGAAGCATTTGTAACCATTTATAAAGCGTTTACGTGATTTAAACAAGATTTCGAATGTATATCCAAGATTGATTGCACTTTGCTTGTTTATTAATTGTAATAAATTGAATGTGATAGTTTAAAAACTCAAGGTTATTTCGATTACTAAGGCCAAGAGTCAAGACACATTTTTAAATGTGATTTGGAAATCCTCTTGATATCAAGTTTATGATCTCGCACATGGTCAAACTATACACACACAAAAAAAAGAATTAAAAATAACACTCATCAAATAATTTGTTGAGTTAATTTGTGAAAAAGCAGAAAGAATTGTTGAGGTAATTAATTTCTTTCGGCAACCGATAACATTTTGATTCATG